CTTTGCCCTCCTCCAAGGACAATTCTGTCCTTCCTCTGCCTAGATAACTCCTGTACTCCTGCCCCCCCCCCCCGGGATGTTGCCATTCCCTGGTCCCTGGCACAAAACCTGGAATGTCTTTGGCACTGGAAAAAGCATCCCGTGAGTGACCCCGAGGTCCCTGTCCTAGAATAGCTTGCACTCAGAAGGTGCAACGAATGTAAATGAGCCAAGAGAATGTTCTAGTAAAGAGGGAAGAAGAGATGATGTCGAGGAGGCTAGGGCTGACCCCCTTGCCTGCCCTTCCCTCGCAGGCCCCAGGGCAAGTCCTACCTGTATTTCACGCAGTTCAAGGCGGAGGTGCGGGGCGCCGAGATCGAGTACGGCATGGCCTACGTGAGTGTGGGGCGTGCGTGGAAGGGGGGCAGCCCTGGGGCAGCGGCAGGGAGGCTGGGGAAGTGAGGAGATGGACACCAAGCCTTAGAGCAGGATTTTGTGACAGAGGACGTGGGACACCACACAGACCCCGGGTCTAGAGGTGCCAGGGTTGGGGTGGCACCGAGCCCAGAGTGGGCCCCAGCCAACCCCTAGAGACTGGCAGGCGGAGCAGGAGATGAACACCTGGCTCCCTGTCCTACCACCTGCCAGCCTCGCACATGTGCCCCCTGCTACAAGGTCAGCAGGAAGCAGAGGGGAGGGGCCCCAGGACACTAGCACTGACAGCAAGGGCAGGAGGGGACCCAGGAGTGCAGGCAGCCTGTTCACGGGGCGGGGGGTGGGGGGGGCTGGCTCCCATAACCTAGGGTTCACAGCCCCCGCAGCACCTTCTGCCACACTCTGGCCCCCCATGGCCCGCACCAGGATCCTGCCACAGGGCAGGGCCCCTCCCCCAGGCCCTGCATCTGCATTTGGGTCAGAAACTGATTGGAAACTACTTTATCAGTCCAAGAAGCAGAACCGTAGGGATAGGCGTTAAGAGATTTGTTGCCAGGAACTAGATTCACCCCAGGGGACTGGCAGGGCCGTTCCACAGCCCGAGCCAGGCCCCTCGGCAAGGGGGAGGTGGGGGCACTGCCCCTAGGGGCACCTCTCCTTCCCAGAAGCCTGGCTCTGCTCTGAAGGCCCTTCCCACTGATTGCATCAGGCCCACCAAGGTCACAGAGGATGACCTCCCGAAAGTCCGCTCCTGATGGACTTTGTCACGTCTGCAGAGTCCCTTCCCCCCAGCGGGTGCCTGCCTACAGGACAGGGGAGTGTGGCCACTCCAGCCCTCACGCCGCCGACCCCCACACCCCTCATCTGCTGGTGCTCTGGGCTCCCGTCTTACTGTAGAGTTCATATTTAGCCGATTTGAAAGAGACACGACTCTGATTTTTAAAAATTGCATTCCAGCGACTGCCCTGCCCGTGTCGTTCCCATATGTTCGCTGAAGGGGAAAATAGCTTCCTCGGGGATCGGCAGCGCGGGCATGGAGCTTTAAGCCAGTTGACAATCCCTTAAGTGGATTAACCACCGCTTCTGCTGGATTCTCTTAGTGTGTAGGAGAACATCGCGTGCTCCTTTAGCAGAAGCATGTCCCTGGAGCCTGTGCTGCCCCCGGAGCAGAAGAGCGGCCGAATCGTGTTCTTTCCCAAGTAGAGAAGTTTCTGCTTGTTGTCTTTCAGTCTAAAGCTGCGTTTGAAAGAGAAAGCGATGTCCCCCTGAAAAGCGAGGAATTTGAAGTGACCAAGACAGCAGGTATGTAAGGAAGGCATGGAGATGGACCCTGGGTCGTCAGGCACGGAAGGACCGCACCCCCATTAGAGGGCCGGCGCCCCGGGTCATGGCCTCTAGCGCCTGCAAACTGACTCTGTGAAGGGCCCCTGGTAAACATTTGCCACTTTGTGGGGCCGACAGCCTCTGCTGAGACGACTCAACCTGGGAGGGCCAAGGCCATAAGCCACAGGTCACGGATGGGCATGGCTGCATTCCGATAAAACTTTATGACCACGGAAAGGAGAATTACATGTCACAAAGTACTGACTTTGGTTAAAGCTATCTAAAACGTAGAAACCACCCTTACCTCGTGGCGCAGGCCACACTTTGCCAACTCCTGCCAGGGACCTGCGGGCGTGAAATCTCCTGGGGCCCTTGGGGACGCTCAGCAGGATTGCTCCTGGAAGGGGGCGAGGGGGCTGTGACATCCACACAGCCTGGCTGTCCTGGGTTCTGTGACTAGGAACAGCTCCGATGCTTGCGAAGTCTGGGGGGCCATGGTCAGCCCTGCCAGGCAGATGCTGAGCAGATGGATGGGTGGGAGGCTCTCTGTGTGAGAGCAAGGGGGTGGTGAGTGATTCTGATGATGGACGTGGGAGTGGAGCCATGTCTCGGGGAGCCCTGGGGGTCCTGAGGTGAAGGATCCTTGTGGTTGTGGGCATCACCAGGCATGGGGATGGCGTTGGGGGTGCAGTGAGCGGGGCTCTTGGGAGGAGGGGCCTTGGGTCTGGAAGGAGCCCTGCCCCCCCGCAGGTCCGCAGGGGTGTGGGGACTGTTCCAAGTAGAGTTTCCCAGGACAGGAGATAGGGTGGCCAGCAGAGCCTTGAGTTCAGGGTGCGCAGCAGAGGGGCAGGGCTGAGCCCCTGGGGAACGGCAGGTGGGGGCCGCATTCCCAGGTCCTGCTGGAAAGGTGCCATTGGGGCCTCAGATGAGTTTGCCAGTGGGAGCAGGAGGTGCGCAGCCCCACCCTGACCCCCACCCATCCTCGTGGCAGAAGTGCTTGTCCACGCTCAATTTTCCTGAGGCCTCCTGCTGCCCTCATGACAGGCCTGCCAACGTCTCTTTTCTTTGGTCCCTCACCCATAAGACTTTCAGGACTGGGGACCTTTCCAGGTCGAGTCCACTTTGGGGACTGCTCCCCGGCCCGGCCCAGGACCCAGAGCGTCTGGAGTAGCGAGGGCCCGACCGCGCGCTTCTTCTCTTGCAGTGTCCCACAGGCCTGGGGCGTTCAAGGCCGAGCTGTCCAAGCTGGTGATCGTGGCCAAGGCAGCCCGCAGTGAGCTGTGACCAGGAGCCCCGCCCGGGGGCGGCTCTTCCTCATCTCTGCTGAAGGAGCTGGGCCTGGGGAGAGCTGGCATGTTACTGGTTTTCTAGGGGGGACTGGTTGATGTTCTCAGAACATGGAGCAAGGGTCTGAGACCCACTGCCCGTCTTTCTTGTCAAAAGAGGCGCTGGGGCCTGTGAAGGGGCTCCCGGGGGGAATCGCAGCTTCTCTGAAGCCAGTACGTTGTCTCCCTGTGGAGCAGGCCAGGCTCCAGGTCACTCCCAGGGAGAGGAATCCTGCTGCCCTGACCCCGAGCCAACTGTTTTCTTACAGTTTTCCCAGGGGACCTTCTTCCAGACTAACTGGGAAGAAATTAAATGTTCTTTCACATTTAAATAAGATGGTTGAAAAGCAACCACACAGACTTGGCAACTGGCACTGGTGCCTGCCTGTCTGGGTACTCGGGGCGGGGGGCCCAGGGGCAGCAGCAGGGGCTGGCCGCCCGCACGCACCTTCACTGCTGGAGACGGCCAACCTGTGCCACCGCAGGCACCTGGAGTCTGCAGGCGCAGAAGCACTGGGTCCCAAGGCCTGGATCTCCCTGAGCCCGTGGGGCAGGCCTGGCTACAGCCAGCAGGTCACACGGGTGGCCCCAGCACAGGGTGAGCGCTCCAAGGCCGACCTCTTTTGCACCTGGCTGGCTTGGCTTATCTTTTTGAAGCCGGATTGCACATGGCGACTTGAGACACCTCCAACCACAAACACCCAGAGGCAAACAAGATAAATAAATACAACTCCCAAATGCCCCAGCCACTGAGACGGGCCCTGGTCTCCCCACAGCGGAGCCTGGGCGTCTGACCCTGGCCTGCCCTCTGACCGGACCTTCTTGCAAGCAAATGAAGGGAGAAGAAACTGTGAAGCCCTCAGCTGTGAACCAGAGTCCTTGCTCATCAGAGTGTTGGATCGATGGGGGATTCTCCTCCCCTTTCCCTCCCCTGGCCTCCCTCGTGCCAGCCCAAGGACCAGGGCCCTGCGGTGATCCCACTTGTCAGAGAAGCAGCAGGTGTTAGGGTTCCTGCTCCAGATTGCACACCTGTTGGAAGTGGAGTGGGTGTCGGAAGTGGAGTGGGACTTGCACCCTATCCACACCTGTGGCAGCTACTGACTCGGGAGCCTGAAGAACAGTTGTCCTCACAGCACATAACAAGTTCAGAGCCCCCCACGGCCCTGGAGATACTGAGAGGAAAGAGTCTGCCTGCCTTCCCTGTCCAGCACGCGTGCACATGCCATGCCATCTAGTGAGAGAAGTTGTCAAGGGCACACACGTCCACAGTGGGGCGGTGTTCATCCCACTCAGGAACGGATGCACTTTGAGGTCAAGTGAGCACAGGGACCCACCCCACTGAGGGCCAGGAGCCTCTGCTGCTCCTGGCTTTGGGGTTCAGTGGACTGAAGAACCCAGTGCATCTCCACAGCACCCCGGAGGTGGTTAGCTGCCCGGGGCCCCCTGCGGAAACAAGGCAGCAGTGATGTCATGTCCAGGGGTGCTGAGGGGCACATGGGCCCGACCCTTGACGGTCAGCCTGGAACCACTTACCACTTCTGAATCCCAGGGGCCCATCAAGGATGCAGAGCCCGTGGGTGCTGTGTCCCGGGACGCGGCAGGACATCTGGACACACAGTGGCCCGTGCCCACACCAGCCATCTGTGCGCGTCTTTAGGTAGCTTTCGGGTAGACTCAAGAAGGCAGCCACCCTGGCCCCGCGGGCTTTAGTCATGATGGGGAGCTGAACCGAACCTGGTTTGGGCGTGCACAGGCCGAGCTCCAGCTCTGCAGGCCCGTGAGTCTTTCCCCCCGGTGCCCCGGGGAGCAGGACTTGAACCTGTCATCAGGGACCACAGGCGCGTGACGTTACCCACGAGCTCAGTCGAGAGGCAGCAGCCCCTGGAGGGCGAGGGAAAGCTGTCAGGCGGCACCAGCAATTTAATCGCTAGTTCCACATAATGCAAATGGAAGATACGTGCTTTTATTTAAATAGTTCTGTAGCGCTTTGGTTTTTCTAAATTAAATTTCAAACGTATGAAGAGCCAAGACAGGCTGGACAGCCCAGCAGGACACAAGAACAAAGTGTTACGCACGTTGATGCGTTCGGTGTGCCAAGCTGAGGACGGAGGCTTTCCAAGCCCCTGGGGCCTCTCGGGTGCTCAGAGTGCACGTTTGTTCTCGGACGTGAAGATCTGTCTCCTGACAAGATGGGGGGGGCAGGTTCTCCTTGGGGTGGGGCAGAGGTGGGACAGCTGGCTCCCGGGCAGGAGAACTCTGGCTTCCTTGGGGAAGCAGAAACCAGAGAAAGGCCGTCCTGCCGCGGGGGCAGTAGCGCTGCGTCAGCGCAGCGGGGGCAGCAGAGGCGAAAGGGTGTGGTGGGGACTGCGGCGGCCAGAGGGGCAGCGGCCAGGCGGCTGCACCAGCAGGCGGTGCGGGCTCAGGCGAGTGTTGGAGGCGAGCTCCACACCTGGATTGGTACGCAGTGTCCTTGCTTTTGAATAATGCCGCTGCCTCGGGCGACAGGGCTGACCAGTCCCGGCGTCTTGCCTAAAAAGGCCTGCAGGGCTCTGTGAAAGCTTTGCCCAACAGACCTGGGTCTGCAAAACTTGTCAGGAGACGTCGTCATGCCCCCCCCCCCAGTCCCATGGGTGCCCTGAATAACCTTCCCACCCCTGCCTCGGCCCACCTGCCGCAGGCCTGCTAAAACACACGCCCCTCCTGACAGACAAGAATCACAAATACACGCTCACACCCCATGTGTCCATCTGCACCTGAGCTGAGAATCCCTGCATTCTCTGGGTGTCCCCAAAGCCAAAATCTGTTGAGGTTTGCTTTCTGAGGTCTCGTAAAAAAGTTGGCCGACTGAACGCAAATGAAATAATCTTAAAATGGGCGTGCATCTCAGATGGCCTTACGCTGGAGCCCTGAGTGGGGGGCACACCGTCCCCTCCCTGTGGGAGTCAGGGCTGCAATTCCAACCCCACTGAGGCGTCCTTACCGATAGCAGCCACCCCAGCACTTTTCTAGGCTCCCTACACACCTTCCCTGCTGGAACCGAGTGTACCCCGCTGCCCCCCTGGGCAGGCGCAGCAAGAGAAATGTGTTCCCTCTTAGTTCTGGAGGCCAGAGTCAGCCGTCAGGGTGTCAGCGGGGCTGGCTCCTAACGGCCGCTCCAGGCGTCCCTCTGGCTTCTGGAGGCTGCTGGCAGTCCCGGGGGTTCCCTGGCTTGTAGACACAACCCTGCAGCGCCCCCCCCATCTTCACACGGCCTTATCTGCGTCCGAACGCCCCCTTCTTACAAGGACCAGGGGCCCAGCTGGACTCGGCGTGGTGGTGTCTTAACTAGACGTACATCTGCACCGACCCTATTTCCAAATAAGGTCACATTCAGAGATCCTGGGGGCTAGGACCTCAAAGACTAAGGGGAGATGCAGCTCACCCCCTAACACTCCCTGGCTTCTGGTTCATCGTTACCCTGTCGGAAGGAACAGGCAACATCGTTAACGTGGTTAAGTGGCGAGCGCCAGCTTTCAGAGGCATCCAGTGGCTGGAGGGGCGGGCCGGGCTCCTCCGGAATTGGGGCGGAAGGGACCCGGGGCCTTACACAGCTGCTTCCAGCGGATCCGCATCCTCTCCGAGGGGACGTGTCCCGAGGCCTTGGCCAGAATGGGATGGGAGAAAGGAGATCCTCGAACCGCCCCCGCCCCGCAGGAAACCCGGGCCCGGCGTCATATGCTGTCGTCGTCCAGCATCCTGGTGAGGCCCTCGCAGATGCGGCGCAGGTGCGAGCGGTAGGGCTCGGCGGGCCCGTAGAGCGCGGCCAGGAAGTCGCAGTCGGCCAAGTGGCCGAACACGTGGTTGATGCGGCCGTGGGACTTGGCGGTCAGGTGCGCGCCCACGGCCTGGTGCAGCAGGTCGCGGCACTCGTGCAGCGCGGCGGCCAGCACGCGCCGGTCGAAGGTGAAGTCCACCTGGTGGAAGCTGACGGCGGTCATGGCCAGGCGGCGCGCCCTGTGGCGGAAGCGCTGCAGCAGCGCCAGCTCCTCGCCGCCCAGCTGCCCGCCGCGGAGCAGGACGCCCAGCTTCACGGCCACTTTGACCAGGTTCTTGAGCACCTTCTGGGCCTCCTTGCGGCTGCGGGTGAACTCCTTGGTGGCGCGGTACAGCTCGTCCAGCACCTCGCTGCTCGTGTCGTCGATGAACACGGCCACGGTGGCCTTGGATGCCATCTTGCTCAGGAGCTTCTTCTGGGCCTGCAGGACCAGGCTCTTGGTGCTGAAGGCGTCCATCGGCCCTGCCGGGAGGAAAGGCGCACGGGCGTCAGTCCCCACGGTCCCAGGGGCGGGAGCCTGCGGGGAAGCACCTGCTGGGCGCCAGGGCTGGGTGCGGGGCCCGGGTGGGTCAGGGACACGTGACACGTTGTACCCTCAAGCGACAAGACGCCAATGCAGGGGCACCCCAGAGGTGCCGGGGCGCAGGCCGGCCTCCTGGAGGGAGGGACAGGTGAGAGTGGGCGGAGGGCCCACCCAGGCGGCCTGGAGGAGGGAAGCTCTGAGTAGTTGAGCGCAGAGCACAAATCCGGGCAGGACACCTACGTAGGAAGAAGGCTTGTGAGAAAGATCACAGTCACACTGAAAAGACGGTGACCCAGGGGCCCTAAGGGATCTCAGGGAATTCGTTCCTGAAAGAAGGAAGGAAAAGGAAAGAAAAAAGGAAGAGGAAGGTGGGATTAAGTCAAAGGAGTTAGTGCCTAATGGTGAACGGTGCAACCTGGGCAGCACGTTCTGAAGCCAACTACTTGCAGGCCCTGGCCCCAGCCCCCCAGACCCGCCACATCGTAGCTGTGGGCCAAGGAGGGGCTCAGGGCGAGTTATCGTGGGCAGGTTCCATGCCCCCCAAGTCCAGCTTGTCATTCCCCAGCCGCCATCCTGCAGTTCAGTAGGACGGGGTCCCAGCCCCGGGGCTGTTAGTGTGGACGAGCCCCGTTACTTCCGCTCCCCCGGCCTTACTCTCCCCTGGAGTTCACAGCGGACGCGGAAGGGGTCAGGTGGGCAGCCGCCTGGGCTGGGGGGCCACGCGTGAGGTTTCTAGAAACACTGCTTCAGCGACGCCTCCCAATAGGGTGACCCTGACCAGGGACAGCTCCCGCCCAGGAAGGGCTGGCTCAGCAGGCCAGCTCTCGGGCGCCGTGACCGGGCCTCCGGCTGCGGGCTGTGTTCTCACCGGTCTCCACGGCCCGCCTGCAGAGGGCCCGGGCTCTGAAGCCGCCCCTCCGGCCTCCTTCCTGCGGTGCCCGACTGCCTCCTCGCCCGCGCATCCGGGTGCCCGCTGGCAGCTCCCGTAGTTCCCAGGACCCCGCCCCACGCCTCATTCGGGGGCCTGCAGCCTCCCTGGCAAACTCCTATTCATCCCCCAAAGCCCCGGCCCCTCAGCCCCTGCCTCTTCTCGAAGTTTCATTTCCCCAGCTCGGCTTGGCTACAACCTCCTCTAGGAGGCCGTCCATGAACGACCCGACGGCGATGGGGCAGCTCCCTGGCCACGCGGCACCCAGGCACCCCCATCGCTGCCCTGCCCCCTCCAGCGGGCCCCTCTCCCCACCTGGCCTGCAGCAGCCCGGCCCACAGGGGAGGCAAGGGGCCTGCTTCCTCACCCACCGTGTCCTGGAGACGTCGGGAAAGCGAACGAGGCGAGCCTGAGGCCCACCCACCCCCCTCACCCACGGGCCCCAGGCCGGTCAGCCCAGGAAGGCCACGTGGGTGCCCACCCAGCCCCCAGAGCCCCTACAAAGCCCGTCTTTGTAAGCGCTCCCGCCCCGAGACCAGGCCCACCCCCGGGGCTGCCCCGTGGCCTGGCCTCAGAGGTCGGGGTGGGCACGGGGATAACGGGGCCGCCCTCCGTGCCTCCCACGCGGGCCCCCGGAGCGCGGGGCCTGGGCCAGAGCGGGCTGCCGCTGACTCAGCACCACGTGGCAGGCCTGGGCCGGCAGCGGGTGCCCGATTCGTCATTTCCACCAGGTAGCAGGCTGGCTGCCAGTTTGCTGAAGAAGTTACCGAGGCTCAGAGAGGCTGAGACACGTCCCCAAGGCCACACGGCGGTGGCAGCGGCCTGCCTCTGTGTGCCTGTCTCCCCTTCCCCACGTGATGCCTGCAAATCGGCTCGAGTTTTCGAGGGCCGGGAGCTGTTTCTGTGCCAGGTCCCCAGTACTTAGGGCCTGCTCCCAGATCTGACCGCTTGGTCAAGCACCACGACTACACCGTGCCTCAGTTTCTTCATCTGTAAAATGGGGGAAAGTCCAAACTAACACTGTCCTGGGGCCGGAGCATGCGGCCAACCCCAATGCCCCCCAGGCTGTGAGCTCTCCCTGGGCGAGGGGCTGGGTGGCCTGCCTGGATTTAACTTTCAGGCTGGCCACTTGGCACAAGGAGTACCTAGGCCTCCCAGATGCCTTCCCACCACTCTCTCTAGAAAGTTCTGTTCTGTTCCCTGTCCCAGCACCTCCCTATTACTCATCCTGTTAACTGCTCATCCAAGTGCCAGCGTCATGGTCACCTCCTCCCGGAGGCCGTCCTGGGTGTCCCAGGCTGGGCCAGCTGCCCCTTGGCTCCCATGGCACCCTGGCCATGCTCCATCTTGGCCTTGCACACCTTGATCTCGCTGTTCTCCCCCTCGCCTGATGGGGAGGCCGGGGCTGGGTCTCCCTTGTTCACACGGCGCCTCCGGTGGTCAGCCCAGGGCCCGGTACACAGCAGGCGCTCCGTAAGTGCTCACTGAATGTGTGAGGGAAAGGATGTCCACAAACCCCCCAGGGCCCTGGGCTCAGCCTCCCCCGCTTACAGATGGACAAACAGGCTCAGAGAGGAAGCGGACCCCCCTGAGCCCAGGGCCTGCTGCCTGCCTTGGCCTCTGGGTGACCCCGGGGCGGCTCTGTCCCTCTCAGGGCCTTGGCCTCCCAATCTGCAAGTTGAGTGTGTTGGTTCCGGAGGGGGGCTGGGCCCCCAGCAGGCCCCCCCTCCTGCGCCCAGAAGGCCAGGGGGTGGGGGGGGGTGGAGGCAGCTGCAGCCTCCCCCCGGGCCTCTGCACTCCTAACCCCTCCAGCGGGCCCCAGACCTGCTAACACCTGGGCCAGCCCAGCTGCATGACCCCCCCCCCCCCGACCCATTGTTCGGCCAGAAACCCCCCACCCAGGCAGGCAGACAAGGAGATGACTCCCATCCCGGGGGAGCAGGCCGCAGACGAAAATAAACCCCGGCCTTCCTTCCTTCCTGCTCACTCGCCCAGGTCTGAGGGCCGGCAAGCCGGGAGGTGGCCAGGCTGCGCCACGTCAGCCCTTCTGGGGCACGGCCGTCCAGGAGCCGCCGAGGGGCTCGGGCCAGACACTCAGCGTCCCTGGTCCCCATCCACCCAGTGCCTGAGCGTCCCACTGTCGTCAAAGCTAAAGGAGCCTGGCAGAGGGTCCAGGGCTGGGCTAGAACACTCATCCAGATCCAGTCACTAGTGAGCATTTATGGAGCACCAACTGTGTCCCAGGCACTGGGGACACTGCAATGACCCAAAGAGATCCTGTCCCTGCCTTCTGGGGGGCTCCAGCCTTCTAGACCCAAGCCACCTAGTTATTACGCAATGATTTGGGTCCCAATTCATTCAGTTGAATGAAATGGCATCGCAGACACCACGGTCTGCCTGCACCCATCAGCTTAAACACAAAATAGGGGGTGCCTGGCTGGCTCAGTGGGTAGAGCGTGTGACCCTTGATATTGGGATTGTGAGTTTAAGCCCCATGTCAGGTGTGAAGATTACTTACACCCAACGCACTTAACCCCACTTACACCCAATAAGATCTTTAAGGGCGCATGCGTGGTTCAGTCGGTTGGGTGTCTGCCTTTGGCTCAGGTCATGGCTCAGGTCCTGGGATCGAGCCCTCATTGGGCTCCCTGCTCAGCGTGGAGTCTGCTTCTCCCTCTCCATCTGCAGCTCCCCCCTACTCATTCTCTCTATCTCTCAAATAAAATCTTTTAAAAATATTTAAAAACAAGTAAATGTATAAAGGTGGTAGTGTGAGGCAAGCAGACCAGGGAAGGGGTCTGGAACATCCCACACTTTGCATCTTGTTCTAGGTCTATACACATGTAAAAAGCCATCAAGCTAACTGGCCGTACAATTCTGTGATTATGCTAAAATCCAGCAAATTGTACACTTTCATAGGGTGAGTTTTATGGAATGTGAATTATATCTCGATAAAAAAAATTGAATCTTTCTCCAAAGGAGACATAAATGGCCAAGAAGCAGCTGGAAAGATGCTCAACATCACTGGCCACTAGGGCAATGCCAGTCAACGCCATAAGGGCCTTGCCTCACGCCATGAAGGTGGCTGCTGGCCCAGCAACGGGCGTCACGAGCACCAGCCAGGCCGGGTGGAAACCGCGGCCCCAGCCCCACTGTGGGCAACGGGAAGTGGGGCAGCTGCTGTGAAAGCCAGTTTTTTGGCAGCTCCTCCAACACACAGACTCACCATGTGACCCAGCAATTCCGCTCCCAGGTAGCCACCCAAAAGAGATGAGAACGCAGATCCACACAAAAACTTGTACACGCGCGTGCACGGCAGCATGGTTCATACGGCCAGACTGGAATCAACCCAGTGTCCATCAACGGTGAAGGGACAAACATAACGCCTCTGCTCCATGCACGGGCACGTCCCTTGGCAGCCAACAGGGGCAAAGCGCAACATGCCACCCTGGGGACAGACCCCAAGCCCACGACACTCAGGGAGGGACCAAACATAGGAGGCCCCATGGGTGTCAGTCCGTGCGTGTGACATGTCCAGGACGGGCTCCTCCATGGACGGGAAAGAGGCTTGTGTGGGCTGGGGGCTAGGGGAGGGGATGTGACACCTGATGGGGTGGGGTTGCTTTTTAGGGAGAGGGAATGTTCTGGAAGTTGAATACTTTAAAGTGGTGAATTCTATGGTATGTGGGTCATATGTCATCAAGCTGAACACTCCCTATGTATACATTAAGTATAGGTATTTTAGGGGCGCCTGGGTGGCTCAGCAGTTGAGCATCTGCCTTCGGCCCAGGGCGTGACCCCAGGGTCCTGGGATCAAGTCCCACATCAGGTTCCCCGCAGGGAGCCCGCTTCTCCCTCTGCCTGTGTCTCTGCCTTTCCCTCTGTATCTCTCATGAATAAATACATAAAATATTTTAACAAAAAATATATTTTTATACCCCCATGCCCTTTATGTTTTATGCCTCATTTTTTTATGCCTCGCATTTACAATGTTCAACAAATTTAACATTTGAAAAATCAGGATTTGGCCCAAACTGTAGCACAAACAGAAATAAAAGGATCACGCAGGGTGGGATTCGCGAATCACTGCTACCTGGGCAGGCACATAGTGGGTGCCTGATAACGTATGGTTGGCCAGAAAGAACTTCCCACCTTAGCAGCTCGCGCCCACCGCACAAGGATAGAGTGCATCTCGCAGAGGTCACACGTGCGGCGCCGCAGTGAGCAAGCAGCTGCAATTCCTATCACAAAGGGCCACCTTTGCCTCAACTTACCCAGGACTTGCGTTTCTGGAAGAGTCACTGAATATTCAAACCGTGCAAAACCCTGCTCAACAGTTTATGTTTCTGGTGGCACATTAGGAAGTGGTGGGGTCAGGGGCTACTCCAGGCTCATGGCTGGATGCCTAGTGTCCCCGCTCCCTGCCCCCGACGCTGGGACATCCTGTTGTCACGGCGAGCAGAGAGAGAGCCCTCCAGATTTCCAGAGCAGCCCCCTAAGAGGCGTCTTCCTTGCTGGCAGGAGGAGACACCAGAAACTAGTGAACACAAAAAACAAACAGGACAGTTTCGGGGAGAGATGAGGGCCAAGGGCGGGGGGTGACAGCCAGGGACAGCAGGGGACCTTGGCTGGGACAGTCAGGAAGGCCTCACTGAGGTGGAGCTGCCGGAGCTGGGACGGGAAGGACGAGGCCTGGGGGAGAGGTGAGTGAGGCAGAGGAAACAGCTGGTGCAAAGGACCTGGGGCAGGACTGCGCCTGGTGTGTTAGGGGAGCAGCGAGAGAGTAAAGGCCACTGTCCCTGTCCTCCTGCAGCCCTGACATCTCCCCACAGGGGCCCCAGGCAGGCTCCATGCCCTTGGGGACAGCTCTCCCATCTGAGAATTGGGTGCCCAGGTACAGAGTCCTTGGCCCTGCTGGCTCGTGCCCTGCCCCTCCCCAGGACTGTGGAGCCCAGCGCACACCTCCCCTGCCAACCCCACTTCACCTTTTGGGACCAGGAACTTTGTCCTTGTCCCCATTTGGCCCCTCCAGCTCCCAAACACCCTGGCAGCTGCCCTCTGCGCTGCCCCAGCATCCTCCACCTGCGGGGGCAAAGCCAGGAGGCAGGGCCGTCCCTGGGCCTCCCCCGAGAGGTGAGGAGCACGCAGCAGGAAAGATCCCCCCACCCTGTGGACCCTGTTCTTTCCAGTCCCTTCGGCCCCCAAACCCAGCAGCCAGTCCAAGCTCTCCCGGGTGACGGTGGCGACCCGTCCTCCAGGCCGGCGGTGGCTCAGCGGGCTCCCGCACTCAGGGTGCTCTGCGGGGGTTGGGAGCAGGGGGCTCGCTCCGAGGGGCTCCCCGACACCCCACATCACTCACTCCCAGTCCCCTCCCGCTCGCCCTGTTTGTCTGTGACAGTCCCCTGTGCGGCCCATTGGTGCAGGACGTAGGTTCCGATGCCAGGCCCGGGGTGCACAGTACCCAGCCCTGCGCCGGCGGCCGAGCCTCGCTGCGTGACTGCTGAGTGACTAACCGATTCCCGAGCGCACTCGGCGACGCCAGCGGGAAGTGGGAGAGCTGCCCCGGCCCCGGAGGGGGAGGCCCTGGCGGTGGGGGTGGGAGACCCCCCTGCCCCCCCATCCCAAGGGAGCACAGCACCCGCACCCCGCCCCCAGCCCTGGTCCTCGCACCTTCCCAGGAAGCCGCCCCGCGGGGGGCCCCCCCAACCCTCATTCCTGGTTGTCCACACTGGCTCAGGGGTGACAGCGATCGGGGGTGGGGGGATGGGGGGCAGGAAATCCTGCTCCCCAGGGTCCTCAGCCCCCAGGGGCCCCATCAGTGCCGCATCCCGCTCCCCACGAGCCCAATCGGTGTATAAACCGCCCGGTCTCCAGAGAAAAGCAAACAGACGCTGACACGCACATCCGCGTGTTTATCCTGAGTTCCAGGGGGTGTGCCACCCAATTTGCAAACATAAGAAGCCACCCAGACCCTCTGGGGCAGATGCCACCCAGGCCACCGATTCTTGCAAGGTGCCCGCGGTGAGTCTTGCTGTCTCCCCGCGACGCCGCCAGCCTGGAGCAGACGGGGCGGACACCGGGCGGCTCACGGGGCCCCCAGAATATTTGCTCTCGGGCCCTTCCTAGAAAAAGTTGGCCAACGCCTGGGCCAGGTGCTCAGCAGAACAAACGAGGCCCGGATGCGCAGCGGTGGCCCGGCCCCCAGCGGGAAGGCCCCCGGCGCCCCGGCCAGCACAGCCTTCCGCGTGGATGTCAGCGGAGGCTGCGGGGACAGCCGGGGACAGCCGGGGACAGCCGCCCACCCTTCCCACCAAACACGCGACAGGCGAAAACGACCTCGGGAGCACAGATCGTAGTAAAACATGGCAGGGAAAGGGGAAAGCTAGGATTTTTGACCATTCATGACCTTTTGCTTTCTTCCGAGTCTTATCAGCGTGTGATTCACGTGCCATAAAATGTGGCCTTTCAAAGTGTACAGCCCAGTGGCCTCTCAATACTCAGACTGTGCAACCCTCACCATTGTCCAGCTCTAGGCTGTTCTGTCTCCCCAGAAGCAACCCCATCCCACAGCAGCAGCCCCCTCCCCCGGGCCCCCCCAGGCCCTCTCCCTGTCCATGCAGGAGCCTGTCCCGGACGTGTCCCACCCGGGGACTCACACGCCCTGGGGCCTCTCCTGTCTGCTCCCCGCCCCCCCCCCCCAGTGTCGTGGGCTCGGGCTCCATCCCTGTGGCGGCGTGTGTGGGCTCCTCGCTCCTTTTTATGGCCAAATAATAGTCTATATCCTCATTTTAAATATAACCTAAGCTCATAGCCTGTCATCTGTAATCATGGCTGTTCATCAACCCGCCCGGAAAGTTCCTGACAAGGCAGCGGTGGTGGCTCCGCGAGGCCGAGCAGCTGCAGCAGCCCCGGGGCGTCCTCCGCGGGCAGCCCGTCCCCACCGCATGAATTCTTCATGTCCCACACAAAGGGTGTCAATAATTGATGCACCAGCTCAGCAGGGCCGGGACCGCCACTCCATCTCACCTCTCCGAGCCCTGGCCGTGGTGGCCCGGGGTGGCCTCAGGGGCCCCAGGCCTCTGGCCACAGCAGCAAACGCCCCCACCGTCCTTGTGCCCATGGGATACCCCCTGCCGACACCGGGGCCTCCCCTGCATCCCATTTTCATTAACCACCGCTCGGACCTCACAGTCGGTGCCCGATTTGGATGTGGCGAAAGGAAGAGGAACCTGCTTGTCTGAGGGGCTCGGGGGCACCAGTGGGTCTCAAACTGGGTTCTCCAGAGCCCTGGGGGGGCCACCCCAAGGACGAGCAGGGTCTGGCCACCTGTCTCAGAGTTGGGACAGTCACCTATGGTCAGCCTTCCTTCCACTGAAGCGGGGCTCGGGGGCCAAGCGTGAATGTTGGGGGAGCACAGCCCACGGAAAAGGCTCAGGCCAAGCAGATGTTTAGCAGCAAGTGGAGGAGGCTTCGGGGTCCCACGGCAGGAACGCAGCCCCAGGTGAGCCCCAGCTGCACCCACCGCTCCCCTCTCCCCTGCCTGAGTCCTCCTAGTCCCCCCCCACACCTGGGCCCTCCCTTCGGGGCTCCTGCTCTCACACTTCCCCATCCGTCCTCCCCGAAGAAGCCACCAGGGGGCGCGAGTGAGCACCTGCGGCAGGACCCAGGTCCTCGGCCCTCAGCTCTCCACCACTCCCCTTTCTGGGGTAAAAGCCCAAATTCTTCCCATTGCCCACAGGCTCTTACACGACCTGCCCCGCACCCTCTTGCCCTCACTCACTCGGTTCCAATCACATGGGCCTCCTCACTATTCCTCCAAAACTCCAGGTGCCGCCCCCCCTCCCCGGCCTGCCTCAGGGCCTTTGCACCAGCTGTGTCTTCTGACTAGAAGACCCTTCCCTTCAGGTCTCCACATGGCTGTTTTTTCTTGTCTTGCAGGCCTCAGCTCAAATGTCACCTCCTCAGGAGTCCCTCCCAGATGCCCCAGGCTAACTTCCACATCCATCTGTCTCTCCCTCACCTTCAAGCCATTACAATTAAGCAGAATGATGTTCCCGCACGAACACCTATGTTTCCCAAGTCTGATCCGTAAGCCACGCGAGGGAGGGCGCTGGCGCGGCCTTGGTCAGTGCTGGGTCGGCGGCGCCCTGCGCCAGGCTTTGTCTCACAGTAGGTGCTCAGAACCTGTTGAATGAAGAAATGACCTCCCAGTACCAGAGGGGCATAGAGTCTGAGAGCTCATCCAAAGGCCCCACTGTCAGCCAGGGAAACTGAGGCCCAGAGAGAGACAGAGATAGCCCAAGGTCACATAGTAGTACAACAAGAGCTCCTCTGGAGTGGGGGCTCCCCCAGGTAAATGTTCCCCAACTTCCACTAGCCCATTGGACAGAAGTGGAAAATGAGGCCCAGAGAACGGAGTCTTAGAGGATCCCAAGGTCTTGGCCAGAGGAGCTTCCAGGAAAGCTCAGGTGGGGGATCTCAGGGAGCTGTCTCGCGGTGGGAGGTGGGGGTGAGGGGTGCCCAGGGGAGGTGCACGTGCTGCTTATCTCTATGACCCTCCCCCACCTCCCTAACACCTGGGGCTGTACCCAGACAAGCCTCAGCCATTATTCAGCATCTGCCTCTGGGCGGGGACATTTCCCCCACAACAGCTGGAGCTTTGTCCTCAGGCACCCTCTCCCCGCCCATTGGACAGACAGGGACGCTGAAGCCTCTCAAACCCACCACATCAGATCACCAAGCAACCAAAAGGCCCCAGTTGTACCCAGGCCTCAGATGAGGGAACAGGTCCTGAGGGCATCTGACCTGCCCAAGACCACACCACAGGAGGGGACACCACAGAGCCCCCAGTCTGCACCTGTCTGACTCATCTATTCACTTGGGGACCTCCCACCCTCATCCGAGCAGGGCTCAAGCCCCCCACTACCGCCGTTGCC